TATATATATATAAAAGAGGTTGACTTTCTCCTTCTCCTTACCACCCGCAGGAATTTGAAAATGATTGCTATCCCCAGCGGAGGCTGTCGGGGGGCAGCCAGTCCTACGGAGGGGAATCTCCCCGCCTCTCGCCCTACAGCAGCATGGGGAAGCTGAGCAAATCGGACGAACAGCTGTCCTCGCTGGATTGCGACAGCGGGCAGTGCTCGCACAACACAAGCTGTGAAACGTTAGATCATTACGATCCCGATTACGAGTTCTTGCAGCAGGACCTCTCGAACACGGACCAGATCCCCCAACCAGGACTCGGCGTGCTCAGCCCTTTGCCAGAGGGCCTGCGGGAATCTGCTTCTCCGTTTCTCGGACAATCTACAACCAGCCCAAGATGTACCTCCTGGCGCATGTTAACTTACAGCTAAATTCTGGATTCCAGGTGTAGTCTGGCAATCCCAAAAAGGACTGCTTCCTAGGAAACTACAAACATGAGCTAATGATGATCGGAAAGATTCTCTTGCTTTGAGGTGTCCCATATTGCAAATAGTCTCTGACACCTTGTGTTTTTCACATAGCCTTTTTTGCTGAGAGAGACTTCCTGAATAGAAAAATTAAGACAGGTGGGTGGCAATGCCTCCTCCCTCTTGATACATTTCTGAAATGTCACTCATTGAACTGGCACTTACTTAGGCTACAGAAGGCACACTGCCTACAAAGTGGCACCTTTCCAAATTGCTATTAGGGTATTTGCTTAGAATTTGGGCAATGGTTGGGCAAACTAAAGTCTTTTTATTAAATGCATAGCTAGGAAAGTTATTTTCCTCTCTGTTAAGGTTGCTATTACCGGTTTGCCTAGTCAAGTGACAAAATATAAATCCAATGACTCTCCACAACTCTATAGAGTTTTCAGTGGGGCTTATGCAAGCTAAGCCTTAATTTGTTTAATCATGGTTTATGAGCCACACTTCCCAAGGTCACCAACAGACTAATTCACAAAGAAACCATATTTTGATTTAATGTATTGTGTAAACCCAGATTCTAGATGCATAATGATTATATCTAACAGTGAGAACTTTTACTCATTCTTCGTTTGTTGCTTGACATCTTCCTGTAGATATGTCATCAATAGTTGTAGGCCTATGACTTGATAATGACCAGAGTGCTAATTTAATAAAATCTTTCATGTCTCCAGCATCTAGAATTTCAGTATATTTCTTTCATCTATGTTTGGCTTTGTTTGAATCGGTTACTATCTGTCCAGTAGCATCTTTTAGCATACTAATTTGAGGATGTAACCTCAACCACTCTCTTGGGTGATTCTAGTGCAGGAATACACTATTGGTCAGACAGTTCTAGCATTTTTTGCTCATCCTCCCCAGGAACACCATTATCCTGGGACATCATAGCAGGACTAGTGGGCAAAGCTATTCTTAGAGACTCTCCCCCCAAAAAATTGTTGTTTGTACATCACACAAATCATATTATTAGGCTTAATAGCCAACCTTATTTATTTACATACATATTTATTTATTGAATAAATTATATACACATTTTGGCTTCTCTGTTCTTTAGCAGCTGGACAAGAATGCAACTATTAGGAAAATTAACAATCTTAAACTTTTGGTTAGAATCACAGCTCACAAATATCAAGTACATTTATATATAGCAAAGTGTATCAGCATTATTTAGTTTTCCAGTCTCTCCAAGTTTACACTAGTTGTGGATATATGTAGCTGTATCTGCATAGAAATGGGTGTAATGGAGTGGAGAATTAAACATTCCAAAATTGAACTGAATATCTGATGTTTGTTTCTAAATCATACTGCTGATGGAATTTGTCAAAGAAAACTTCTTGAAATTCACTACTGCTTTTTCCTTCATTAAGTAATTATTGGAAAGATAATTACTCTAAGAGCTACAGTAGCTGCCCTGTATGTTTCCCCATCAATATACTGCATTTTTTGTTGGACAGTTTATCAGCAATGCTTACTTCCAAGCCTAGTCAAATATTTTAGATTTTACAAAGGAAAAACAAGGCTTGAATGTGCTAGAAAGATTTGGGCACAGATGACACAAAATAAGTCTAGACATCAAATTTGCATTTTAGCTCAGCACATAAAGATTGTCTTTACAATCTCTTTCAGTAACTGTCTCCTTACCAAAAAAAAATGATGTTGCTTTTTGCTACAGGTTCTTCAATAAATTACACAGGCTAGGAATGGGACATTTAAGTGATAGAATTGTGGGTTACTGCAGTCTGAAGCTCTTTTAAATGATCACCATGCAAAGCAGGATTTACTTTAGCGTGCAATATTTTTTTTAATAAGCTACCATTTGTCAGAACTCCTGAATGAAAATCCAATAAATCCAATGCATCAAATGTGTAATGTTCAAATTATGATTTCCAAAGCTGTTTTGCTGAAATCAGACATTATTAGTAATTAGAACTCTTCTAAATTTGTTAGTGCAACTAACAGAAATTGACCCTCAGTAGAGTAAAAATCCCCAAATCCCGCCCTCACCTACCTGCAAGCCCAATGCTTGCTTCAAATTATGTCAGAGCATGACTAGGGCAGACCACATGGTGCCCTCCATATGGTTTGGATTTTAACTCCCCAAATTTCTTTCAACAGTCCAGTTTGCTGAGGCTAATGGGGTTGCAGCCCAACAGAAGATTTTCTTCTCTTCAATTTAATGTGTTGTATAAATTGAAACCAACTGTAACATATGATCTCCAATGAAGTGCAAATAGATTTGTACTCATGAGAAAACTTTCTGGTTAGAAAGGTTTAAACTGAGGGGAGGAAAAAGGTCCAGGCCATACAAATGCATTCCCTCGTTGCAACACATCTCTTTTAACGATACATCTCATTTCCTTGCAAATAAGTTTAAATGGTTTTCTTTTCTTTTCTCATAAACAAAATGTCCTTAAAATTGATCCACATCCCCAGCATGAAATACCAGGAAAGCAATATTTAAATATTTGGGAGGTAAGAACAAGATACATGGACAAGAAAAAAACATTAAGGGATGCATTAGTAGTTTAATGTACAGGTTTTCCAAAACCATCACATATCTAAGCAAGCTGTGTGAGCAAACACAGATGTGTCAGCAACATGGGGGGGAGGGTGTAATTTCACATAGTTGCCTGCACATTTTTACAACACATTTTAAGGAGAGAAATGAGAACTGGTTCTCATTAACCATTTGTGAACCTTTTATATCTACTTTGAAGGCAGGTTGGAATCTATTTTTTAAAATACAAGTTCACCCCTCATTTTCTGGTTTGAGCTACAAACCATTCACTTAATATCTCAACTGTCTGTTAAAGGCGCAGTATATTGACTGACAAGCATCATTTTAGTTTATTAGTTGAAGGCACTGGATTCAAAACCAGAAGGCTATGAGTTACAGTCCTGCCTTAGGCATGAAGCCAACTGGATGACTTTGGAACCATCAGTCTTTCTCAAATCTAGAAAGAAGACAGGACAAACCACTTCCTAAAAATGTTTAGAAAACTGCATAGGCTTTTCCAGACTGTTATTAGGAATCAAGTGAGACTTGAACACATAGAAAAGAATAAAAATAAAAATATGGACTAATAGGGTGCAGTTCTCATTTTTAATTATTTCAGACAGTTTATGGACTATATCAACTCTTAATATGACTATGTTAATTCAAAAGACATGATGTCATATTCATGAACCATATGTACATGCCTTTTTAACCCTCCTCACAATATACAGTATATGCTTTTAGAACTTGATTGGGTCTGAACATGCCTCCCTATATGCCTCATGTTGAAAACGATCTTCATGTACTTTGGCCTTGATATGATGCATATGTACGCTAGAGAACAAATCTCATAAAAACCTATGGCATTTTGATCTGCAATTGTATACACATCATTTAAATCTAGACTATAAAATAAAATGTGCTGAATGTAACATGGATATTTCAATTAACATTTCAAATTATGGAAACCACAGAGAGACTTTGGACTGAGATGGGATATGTGTGTGGTTTTCTTGTTACCTATCATTTTATGGTGATCCATTTCCAGAACCATGTTTCACCCATAATGTCAGACCTGGCATAAATAAAAGAATCAGAACCTGTTGGTTATTTAAACTTTTATCCAATATTTGTTTGATAGTACATCAAACAATCAATATGAAATCCTGCTTAGATTGCAATCCTAAATATTATTATTTTGAGTCAATGTTGTTCACTAGTCCTGGCAAAGTTTTTGAGAAGTGATTTGCCCTTCCCCTCTTCTGAAAGACAAACAGAGAGACAGACACAGATACAGTTTCTAGCCTGATGCCTTCATCACTACAGCAAACTGGCTTTCATCATAAATGTACTTACTAAGAACCACATAAAATCAATTGTTCTTCTTTTTCTAGTATCTGAATTTCCATAATGACCAATAAATGTCTCCAGGAAGCTTACAAACAAGACTTGTAACCAGCCATTCTACTCTTGCTGCAGCTGCTCTCCTGGAACTGGTGTTGACAAGCTTGCTAGAACTCCATTGGGGTTCTTTGAACAAAATCTCATTACTGTGTTTTCTTTTCTCACAGGATTATTTCCACTTAGCCAGCATCCTATTATTGGCCCTTAAACATGTAAGCCACTGATAATATGAATTTGTATAAGATCATAAATGCAGTACAAGCACAAGGGCAGGAAATTGTTGAAAGTCACTTTAAGGTACCCTACTACAACTCAATAAAACAGGATATCAGGCTGACAAGGATGTATAGAAATACTGAGGAATAATAATAAAAAATAGTCCATATTTCTTTAAGAATATCCACTACACCACACATGTATGCACTTCGGAAATGTATAAGAAAAGAACAAAAGGTAGGCATTGAACAGGTTAATTAATATGAGCTTGTATTTTAAAATTGGCTGAGATTTATTTATTTAGGGAATAACTACAGGACAAAGAAATTGTTGTGGTCTGCCGGTGGCCTGCAGAGCTGACAGCAGAGTCGGGCAGTGAGGAGGTTAGGGAGGAGCATGAGCCAGTCCTGGAGTCTGGGGAAGGCTTGGACAAAGGCTCTACACTGGAGGCATAGATAGGACCAGGGCCATCTGGGAGTTATGTGCTGCCTCCGGAACCTCCAGATCGGACATCAGCGAGGCAGAGGAAGAGGGGGAGCCTGTTCCCAGTGTGCGCATGCACAGAGCTGCCAGAAGGTGAGAACAGTTAAGACAGAAGGGACTATTTGGGTGTAAGGCTTGGAGGTGATTGGCCCCTCCTATAGGACATAAAGGAGAAGCAAAGGCACTTGAGCCTTTGCAGGAAGCAATTTTGTTTATGCTGGTCGATTTACATTCTGAAGCTCCATTTTAACTCTTTGGTCCATGTGGTTTTGCCAAGCTAATTGCCAGTTAAGTCTTTGGCAGCATTTCAAGGAAGATAAAAGTGGTTGCTTATAAGCCTTATCCCAAAAGACTTTGGCAGCCTACTGTCGGACTCTTTACAAACTATTTGGGACTCATTATGGGCTGTGAATGAACATAGTTCACAGTCTATGAAATAAAAAGAGGGATGTTAGGACTAAGTGTGTGCTTTTTACTGTATCAGGAAGTCTAGGTCAGAACAGAAATTCTGATTTTTTTAAAAATTCAAAAGTATCTTTCAGAATAAAGTTTCAGTTTCAGTTTATTAAACTTGTATGCCACCCTATTCCCGGGGGGACTCAGGGCGGCTAACAAACCAAAAGGGAATAGGGGCAATACAAAGAAGACAAACAGGACAAAAAGCAAAATACAAAAACAGATTAAAAAACACCACAACAGCCACAACAATTCGAGTGGGGTTGGGAACTCATCAGCCCCAGGCCTGCCGGAATAGCCAGGTCTTGACAGCTTTGCGGAAA